GAAACTTACATTTTTAAATGAATTTTTTTATTATTATTGGGCTGTTATAGGCACATTTGAAAAACTAGAAGAGAGAAGATGCACTTCTATTCCAGCCACTCAGTGAAGCTAAAATTCCTGGATAATAAACATAAAACAAACCCAAGATGACTGAAAGGTAAAGAGAAGGAAGCAGAACAGCTAGGGGCCTTGGGACTTGTGTTCCTCGGGTTAGCTTTTTGCCTCATATCCCAGAGTGGGTTCTGGAGAGTCTAGGACCTTGGAAACACTGACAGATACACATACACAAGTACATAAGAAAACCAGCTCCCTCAAACCAAAGGATCTAGAAAGGGGCAGACAGGGAAGAGAAAAAACTTTAGGTAACAGTTATTCTACTTAAGTTCAACACCATGAAAAATCCAAACCCCAGCTCCACAGCAAAGGGAAAGTAGGGTGCCTTGACTTCCATCCTCACGTGACCATAACAAGTCACCCCAACATTATCCCCGACCAAAGCAGTGTCAGAAAAGACCAAGTAGAGATGTGGGACTTTCATCCCAACTCAGCAACAGCCAGGTCCCTCTCCCCGCACTGTGGTGTCAATGTAGACTTTAGGAGAAGCCTAGATCTCTAACCACACTAAACAACACACTTCCCTTCCCTCTCCCTGCCAGTATCAGGAAAGGCACAGTAGGAAGCCTGCACATTGGCCTTTCACCAGGAATGAGACGGTCCCACCCCACCAATGTCAATACAAGCAGTAACCCCATGCCAGCCAGGGTAGGCTACCAAAAAGAGGAGGCCTAGTGGAAAGTCTCAACTCTCCCTCTAGGCCAGCAACAGTGGGCAGCTCTTCCACCAGCTCAGGTATCAAAGCAAATCCACTGGCACCTGGAATTCTGCCCCAACCCAGCAGTAACAAGGCAGCACCCTCCTTCACCCAGCCAGTTTGGTGTCAGAGGGAGCCTAATAAAATAGACTTAAATAAAATCTAGAGACTTAATACCACCCAAAAAAATCTCATAGGTAGAGCTGCTATTTTGCAAGATGAAAAACTTCTGGAGGTCTGATTCACACTAATACTGAACTCCAAATTTAAAAATGGTTAAGGTAATAAATTTTTCAGTTTTTCTCCCCAATAAAAAACTTTACAAAGTGCCAATACTAATCAAAAGTAAATTGTTACTTATCATTCCATATGTTTAATTTCTCATTCAAACATTTAAGAACATGAAAATCAGTTACTCATTATAAGACAAAAATCATATTAATTAATACATCTTATTTTACTGCCATTGGAAAATATGATATTTTAGGTTTAATAAATCCCCATCTGTGCTAAGAGTTAAAATAATTAACTTCCAAAACTGGGCTTCTTACCATAATTCATGCAATAAAACTACTTGAGTGTTACTTTTTAAATAACATTTAATAACTTGGAAAATTTAATAGCAAAAACTAGACACATAGATTGTCGGAAAAATACTTTATCTGAGGGTAAGTTTCATTGTGGCATATTGGTACATGCACATAACATTTAATTTCACTAATATCCCTCCCCAATAACTCCCCTAGCTTTCCCCTTCCCCCATCCCCTTCTTTTGTCCTATTGGTTTCCCTTCTGTTTTCATAATGGCCCTTTTATTCTTTCTTTAACCCCCACTAGCTTCCACATGAGAAAAAAACAACAGTTGCATTTCTGAGTCTGGCTTATTTTGTTTAACATGATGCTTTACAGTTCCATCCATTTTCCTGCAACTGACAATATTCTATGACTAAAGAAAACTCCATTTGCATCTGATTTCATAAAATGTGTATTTAAGTGGTCCCATTTGAGACTCAATAGTGTTACTTCTATCATGTTTTCCAAAACTTAAAATATCTTTGACTCATTACCTTCTACCTTATGTATAGCCATCACTTTTTAAAAAAATAATAAAAAACCTCTTTACACACTTCACTGAACACTAATGTTCTCAGAAAGAACTTTTCAGACCATAAAACTCAAATGGAATCACCTAGAGATGACATTAAAATGTAGATTCTGATCCAGCAGATCTGTAGTGGGCCTGAGAATCTGCATTTCTAACACTTCCTAGTGATGCTGATGCTACTGGTACACGCATCACTTTTCAGCAAGGGGTGAGAGAAGTCACTTGTTACAAGGATACCCTGGTAGGAATGTAATACTATCCCCACAATCATGCAAAGACATAATATTGTTAAAGTGGCCATATTACCAAAAATGATCAAGAGCGTCAAAACAACCCCTATCAAAATACCAATACCAAGGTGAGCACAAGAGCAAGCACACTCACGCATAGAATCTGTGTTAGTTTTTTGTCACTGTAATCAAAATACCTGAGAGCAGATAAAGTTTCTTTTGAGCTTATGGTTTCAGAAGTTTAGTTCGTGGTTGGCTTACTTCATTACTCTGGGCCTGAAGTGAAGAATATCATGGCAGCAAGGCACAGGAGAGAAAAGTTGCTCACCTCATGGTAGACACCAGGAAAATGTAAACCCAAAAGGCACACTCCTAGTGACGAATTTCTTCCAGCCACACCCTACCTGCCTAGAGTTACCACCCACTTACTCCATTCAATTTATTAATCCAATGGATTAACCCACTTTATTAAGTTACAGCTCTCAAAATCTAATCATTTTACCCTGAACATTCTCACAATACAGGAGTTTTGGGGGGACAGACACCTCATACACAGACCACAACAGTACTCTTTTTATAAACAGAGGTGTAGATCAACCCAACAGATGAAGACAAACCCACATAATTACAGTCATCTGATTCTTGATAAAGGTGCCAAAAATCTATGTTGGATAAAAATGGCCATTTTAACAAATGGTGCTGGGGAAACATCCCTGTTTAGAAGAATGTAAATAGACCCTATGCAAAAGTCAACTCAATATGGATCCAAGCTCTAAGCATAAGAACAAAAACTTTGTAATTGTTAGGAAAGAATAAAGGGAAAACACTTGAACGTATAGGCACAGCCAATGACTTTTTGAATAAGACTTCTATAGTTCAGGATATGATAGCAAGAATCAATAAATGGAATAGTATCAAATTAAAAATCTTTGGCAAAGGAAACATCCACATGAAGAAAGATTACTGAATGGGAGAAAATATTTGCCAGCTACTCTTCCAACAGAGGATTAATATCCAGAACAAAGAATCCAAAAAAACCCGACAGACACACAATCCATCCAATAAATGATGGATTGAACAGACTTCTCAAAAAATACAGCCAGGCAAGGTGGCACATGCCTGTTACAGAGACCAGGAGGTTGAGATAGGAGGATTGCTAGTTCAAAGCCAGCCTCAGCAAAAGCAAGGTGCTAAGCAACTCTGTGAGACCCTGTCTCTAAATAAAATACAAAATAGGGCTGGGGATGCAGCTCAGTGGGAAAGTGCCCCTCAGTTCAATCCCAGCTACCTCTCCCCATAAAAAAAAATGGCCAAGAATTTTCTGATAAAATTTTCAACATCTTTAGTTATCAAAGAATTTCTCAAAAACCATACTGATTCCATCTCACTCTATACAGGATGACAACAATCAAGAATACAAATGACAATAAATATGGGCCAAAAATGCAAGCTAGGGTAAAGGAATTCTTATACACTGCTGGTGCAAAGTAAATTGGTACAGTCACTACAGAAACAAGTATGGAGGTTTCTCACAAAACTGAGAATAAAATTACCATATGACCTAGCTATAGCATCTTTGCTATTTATCCAAAAGAATTAAAATCAGTACACTCTAAGGATACATGCATTACCCATGTTTATCACATGTGTATATATTGCATTTTCTTTATCAATAGATAAATGGATAAAGAAAATGCAATATACACACACAATGGAGTTTTATTCAGCCATAAAGAACAAAATTATGTCATTTGTAGGAAAATGTATAGAACTGAAGAGCATCATACTAGGTGAAATCAGCCGCATTCAGAAAGACAAGTACCATATGTTTTCTCTCATATGTGGAAAGCAGTGGGGAAATGAGTGGGAGGGACTTCACAAAAGTAGAAAGGACATTAATAAGGTAGAAGATGATACTCAGAGGGGAAGGAGGAGGAAAGAGTACGATGTACCTGAAAGTGAAATTGATCAAGTTATATGTGTGCATCAATAGGCCACAGTGAAATGCAGCATTCCGTATAATTAATACGAACCAATAAAAAGAATGATGATAATATAAAGGAATATGAGAAAGGAGATATGAGAAGGGTAGGTTGGCATCATATCTGCTACATATTATGTATTAGGTAATGTAGATTCGTTTATTGTTTCAGATTTCTCTTTAAATTTGGAGGGCTTTCATAGGATTGGCTAATGGGCAAGTGGCATGGTTTAACTTAAAGTGGTAGCAACTTAAAACTGAATGTCCAGCAGTTACTGGATTTGGAACGTCTTTGTTGTTCAAAATAAACTTATGTGATGGAGACCCTATAGAAAAATAAATATGGTTGATTTAACTGACTTTAAAAAAGAATGTAATACTTACAAATTATACTATAGATAATACAACATCAAAGGAATAGGGAGAGACTAAAACTGAGAAAGGGGGCTCCAAAAGTGATTTGGTTTGGCAGAGTATCAGACAAGAAAGGAATAAAAATGGGTCAGAGTAAGCAGAGAATGTGAAGGGATCCCTCCCAAAGCAGGAAAAGGACATGGAAAAAATAGGGCTGAGGTGGATAAGACATAATAAATGCCAACATACAGGAACGACTCGAATTTTCTCATTTTTCATTACTAAAATGGGACAAGCAGGCAGAATTCATTTATTATATTTCTATTTTAATCACTAAAATGTTCTTATAATGTCTTCAAAGGAATGCTGTATGGTACAAAGGTCTAGAAAATTCCAAAAGATCTCCTGGGATGAAAAATAAACACTACAGAGATGACATTATCTGTTGAACCAATAAAACTATATAAGAAAACAACTTTTAAAAGTAGAATAATGGATGAAATTGAAGTCAATTCAAACCTTTTCTTGGATTAGTCTTTGAAGATGAATCCCACAGGACAACATGGCAGTGAATAAGGTCAACAGGTACTGCTGAACTTTGCAGATGGCAGAGGCCAGGGAATTTATTATGGAGTTTAGTCCCACCTTCTCAATAACATTCTGGAAGGCAGTAGGAGACTGGCGAGTGATTCTACACAAGGCCTGCAGAGAAAGGAGTGGGAATGCGATCGTCAGACAACTCAAAGCGTATTAACCATTACCCCAAAAGAGAACATACACTCCTGTGCAAAAACAGGAAGTACTAACCTTGCTCCTTTTTTATTTTGGCACAAGAAAGAAAATTTAAACTTAAAAGGAGAACAGTAGCCTAGCTGCCAATAAAATTTAAAGTTGTTTTAAAACATCAGTATTACAACAATAATCACTAAATTGATAAGTTAATTCACAAGTCTATAAGAAAACTTCCTTTTTAAGTAATAAACATTAAATGTATTTTTGTTCTTTTTAGTTATATATAACAGTACAGTATAATCTGACATAGTTATACAAACATGGAGTGCATCTTATTCTAATTAGGATCCCAGTCTTATGGTTGTACATGACAGAGATTCACTGTGTATTTATGCATGTGCACAGGAAAGTTAAGTCAGATTACTCCACTGTCTCTCCTATTTCCTGTCCACCCTCCCTTTCCTTCATTCCCCTTTGTCTAATCCTCTGAACTTCTATTCTTCCCCTTCCCCTCCTTGTTGTGTGTTAGTATCCACATATAAGAACATTCAACCTTTGTCTCTGGGGGATTGGCTTTTTTCCACTTAGTATAAAAGTCTACAGATCTATCCCATTTTCCAGCAAATGCCATAAAGTCATTCTTTTTAGTGGCACAATAATATTTCATTGAGTATACTTACCACATTTTATTTATCCATCCATCTATTGTAGGGCATCTAAGTTGGTTCCATAACTTAGCTATTGTGAATTGAGCTGCTATAAATATTGATGCAGGTTCGTCACTATAGCATGCTGACTTTAAGTCCTGTGTGTATATACTGAGGAGTAGGGTAGCTAGGTCAAATAGTAGTTCCACTCTAAGTTTTCTAAGGAATCTCCATACTGCTTTCCACAGTAGTTGCACCAATTTGCAGTCCAGCAATGTATGAGAGTGTACCCTTTTCTCTACATCCTGCCAACATTTATTGTTATTTGTATTCTTGATTGTCACTATTCCAAATGGAGTGAGATAAAATTTCAGTGTAGTTTTAATTTCTACTTCTCTAATTGCTAGAGATATCGAACATTTTTTCATATATTTGTTGATCACTGGTATTTCTTCTTCTGTGAAGTTCTGTTCAGTTCCTTTGACCATTTATTAATTAACCAGACCTTAAATTATACTACAGAGCTATAATAAGAAAAACAGCATGGTACTGGTACCAAAACAGACCTGAAGGCCAATGGAACAGAAGACAGAGACAAACCCACATAAATACAGTTATCTCATACTAGACAAAGGTGCCATAAACACACTTTGGAGAAAAGACAGCCTCTTCAACAAATGCTGCTAGGAAAACTAGAAAGCCATATGTAGCAGAATGAAATATAACCCCCCCCTCACCCTGCACAAAACTTAAACTGGATCAAAGACCTAGTTAGACATTAGACCAGACAACTTTCATCTACTAGGAAAAACATATAGGCCCAACACTCCATCATGTTGGCTTAGAAACCAAATTCTTCAATAAGACTCCTAAAGCACAAGTAGTAAAATCAAGAATAAATGGGATGATATCAAACTAAAAAACTTCTTCACAGCAAAGGAAACAAGAGCATGAAGAGCGAGCCTACAGAATGGAAGAAAATCCAAAGCCACATAAACCTCAGATAGAGCATTAATCCTCATGATATATAAAGAGCTCAAAAAACTTACTGTCAAAGTGGGCAGGGGAGACAATAAATGTATTCTTTGTGCAGGCACTAAGTTCTGAAAACTACTAATAAAATTTAATATTTAACACTGTTTACTATATGGAACACTATCTCAGACTGTCTAAAAATCATTAAATTCTTCCAAGCATATGTAAGAAAGGTAGTGTTACCCCATTTACAGATGAGACTAACACAGAGTATTTAAGTAATTTGCAAAATGTCAGAGCCAGGAAAAGGTGGAGCAAGGATTCAAACACAGGTAAAGTTAGCCCTCCAGAGCTGTTGCTAGATTGTTCATACTTTTTCAAACTATCACATGAGTTCCTCCTTCCTGATTTATATTTTACCCCAGTTTATAATTTTCATTAACAATGAAAAGATCAAATACAAGACAAGTTGTTAGAAATATGATGTCTAGAAGACAGAAAGCAGGAAGGGAGGGAATGAGGGAAACACTTTTTTTTAGAACTTTGAAAAACATTTCATTTTCTGGAAAATCAAGGGGAAAATATTTTTTCTATCACCAAGAATGAGTTTCCTTTTAAACTTTTTCCTATTGATAATATAAGGAATGCAAGTGTTGGTTGGTATAAAATTGAATCTTTTGCAAAAATAAAATGCTCTAAAGCACATGTTTTCATTTAATGCGAAACCTTATTTCCAGTCTTTATGAAAATGCATCTCGCTAAAAATACACTGATATAACAATAGTAGATTTTTATATTTATTATGTATGATTTTTAATTATTTTATAGCACATGTATTATAAGGTAAATTTATATTTTATATATACGTATGTGTGTGTGTGTGTGTGTGTATCCCCCCTCAAAAAAGCAAGTTTCAAAATAGAAACACAGATAACGTGAGAACACAAGGTAATAAGATCCCTTAAAATTTCAAAAACTCTCCAATAACTAAACCCATAAATATTGAAGTGAAGCAAATGCCAAAGATTTTTTTTAATGGTGATAAAAATGATCAATGAACTGGGCACACAGCCCATAATCCCAACAACTCAGAAGTTTGAAACAGGAGGATCATAAGATCAAAGCCAGCCTTAGCAAGTCAGCAAGTCCCTAAGCAATTTAGTGAGAGCCTATCTCAAAATAAAAAATAAAAAGCAAAAACAAAACAAAAAGGCTGGGGATGTAACTCAATGATAAACTGTCCCTGGGTTAAATTCCCATTAACAAGAATGAAAAAGGAGATGAAGGAGGAGGAAGGGTGGGGGGAGAAAAAGGAGGAAGGGAGGAGGAAAAGGAGGAAGGGGGGAAGGAAGAGAAGGAAGGGGAAAGGAAGGGGAGAAGGAAGAGGAGGAAGGGGGGAAGGAAGAGGAGGAAGGGGGGAAGGAAGAGGAGGAAGGGGGAAAGGAAGAGGAGGAAGGGGGGAAGGAAGAGGAGGAAGGGGGAGGAGGAGAGGGAGAAAAATAGAAAGGGGAAGAGGAGGAGAAGAAACAACTAGACAGAATATGCAAGAGCTCTGAGACATTTAAAGACCAAATTTAAGACTCATAGGTCTGGAGGAAGGGGTGAAAATACAGAATAATGACAGAGAACTAATTCAGTGAAATAATGGCAGAAAGTTTCCCTAATCTTAGGAATGAGATGGACATGCAAGTACTGCAGACATTTAGAACTGCAAATAGACATGAGTTAAAAAGAACCTCTTCATGATATATTATAGTTAAAATGCCAAAAATTCAGGCCAAAGAAATAAGTTTTAAAATTGTAGAAGCACCAAGTCACTTATAAAGGCAAACCAATCTGAATGCCTATAGATTTCTTAGCAGAAACTCTAAAGACCAAGAAGGCAAGTGATGATGTATTTTAAGACTCAAAATAACAGAAAATAACGGCCAGCTTACACAATGATATTCAGCAAAGGTATTCTTCAAAATCAAATAAAAATACCTTCCAAGATAAGCATAAACTGAAGGAATTCATGACCACTAAGACAGTACAGCAGAAGATACTTAAAGAAATCTTACACACTGAAGAAACCAACAAGAGAGCCTGGGAAAGAATAAAGCTCATTAAAAGAATGGACAATCAAATAAGAACTAGGAATGAAACAAACATTAGAAATAAAATAAGGGAAAGTAAATGCATCTCTCTCTGCAACCACCTAAATGTAAATGATCTTAATTTTCCAACAAAGAAACAAACTAGCAGGCAGGATTTAAAAATAAGACCTAATTTTGTTATGTCCAAGAAATATACCTTACCAGTAAAAATCTTCACCAACTGAAGTTCAAAACGAATAGGAAATGATAGTCCATGCAAATGGAATCCAAAATCTAGCAGAAGTAACTATTCTTATATCTAACAAAGCATATACTGAGTCAAATGAGTCAGAAGAGACAAAGAGGTTCATTATGTGTTATTAGTAAAGGGAACAACTGAACAAAAAGATTAAAATTCTAAGTATTAGTACCCCCAAAATCTCAGTGCATCCAATTTCATAAAACTACTCAAAAGAACAGATAGGCCCTAATAAAAGGAATGATCTCAATGTACCATCCACACAGAAAATCTATAATGATACTACAGAGTTAAATTATACTTTAAATCAAATGGAGTCAACAGACATGTACAAAATATTTCATCTAACAGGAGAATACAGTTTCTCTTCAACTGCTCATGGAACTTTCTCCGAAGAAATCTTATATTAGGCCAAAAGGCAAGTCTTGGCAAGAAAAAAAAAATGAATTCCTTGTATCTTATCAGGTTATATAATAATGGAATGATATTCAAAATCAAAATCAAGAAAAAGTACAGAAATTATAAAAACACATGCAAACCAAACAGTACACTTTTCAATAATGAGTGGGTGATTGAAAAAATCTAGTAAAAAATTTAAAAATTCTTAGAATCAAGTTGAGAATAGAAACAACATATCAGAATCTATGGGATAAAGCATAGGCAGTTCTAGGAGGGAAATTATGAGTGCCCACATTAAAAAAAATCACAAAGAGCTTAAGTAAGTAACTTGATGCATCCCAAGATCTTAGAAAAATGAGAATAAACCAATCCCAAAACCAGTAGAAGGAAAGAAATACAGAGCAAAAATTGATGAAATAGAGAAGAATACAAAGGATCAATGGAAGAGTTGATCCTTTGTAAAGACTGATAAATACCCAAACTAACCTAAAGACGCACCAAATCCAAATTAATAAAATTATGAGAAAGGAGATGTTACCATTGACACTACAGACAAAGAATCATTAGGAATTATTTCCAAAAAATATATGCTAACAAATGGGAAAATATGGAAGA